AGGTACTTACATGAAGTCAAGATTTGATGGTGTTTAGCATCAAAGGGTTCGTATCGAGTGACGATGTTTTTATTTCTCATTTGATACTAAGGTTTCTCCCAGTAAATCGTCAGCATAGTCGTAGTTCTCAAATCATGTACGATATGCACAAAAAATCACTTTATGTTCTCTCGATGGCATTCCCTCTAAAAATTGATTGATCTTATCGTTCCAAAACCAAATTAATATGTTAAAGAAAAGAAAAGGTGGTTCTAGGGTGAAGTATATATGATTGCGACAAACAAAAAGGTTAGTAAAATATGTCAGATTGGTGAAGACCTCAAGTTGCACTTTTCGACCCCAAAAAAAAAATCAGAAGGAATTAAAAAATAATAAAATAGAAAAACACTCTAGTTGCTTTCCCTCTATTTTATTATTTCTTTTATTTTTCCCTCCAACCATGCCCATTTTAGCCGAACCATTCACCTCCCTTTCGGTATGGACGTGGCTTTTGCTTTCAGAAGTCTTGAAGATAAGACTTTGGCATCACCTTTTGATATGCGGGAAATTGGAGAGAATAGTAGCTTCAATTTTTTTCATTTTTCCCCAGTAATATTCCGATGATTAGTCAATTTTTATTCGCAAAATAATCGGTTGATATCGTAAGGAATCTTGCCAATATGCTAAAGTGTGAGCTATATTGAATTTTTCCTCTTATTACAATTTGTTGTGGATATGAATCTCTGTTCCATTCATTCAGTCAAAAATTTCAGTTCCAATTTCTCCATCGCATAATTTGAAAAACAATAGGTTGTGCTAGAGATACTAAAGCTTTTTTTCACCAATAAAAATTAGACACATCGTTTAGTAAATAAGGTTTATTAAGAAGTCTAGTACATATAGCATTATTCTTTTGAAAATGCAGAATTTAGAATGATGAATTGAATGATCTTATAAGGAAAATACTGCTGATATAATCTTCTCTTAACAGTTAATTAACTTATCATATATTCACCTATTTTTGAGGAATTTTCTCTTCTAGAAAACAAAAAAAAAAACAAATTTTAAACTGGATTTATCACTCACAAATTGTTGTGTTAATTTTCTTTAAACATAGCAAATAATCTCTCGTCAAAACAAATTACGATAGCTTCTCAATGAGAAATGTACTTAAAATTAGATGGTTTAGATAGAATTTATTTTTCTGATACAAGTATGTTCGCCTCAAACTTGTGTGGGGGCTATTTAACTCTTATCGATGAGCATAGATTGACTTTTGCAAAGCCGAAATCGCCCATATATATCTATAAAATAAAACTCACCTAGCTATAAAAAAACCGAAATATAGGATGTATTTGTTTGAGAGAAAGAATTATTCACAAATTAATTTTTTGAACTTTCCACGCGTTTGGTTTGCTGAAAATGATCGGTCAACAGAAAATCATAATGAAAAATATGCGTGCTTAGAGTTAGGAAAACGAATTTTCTAACTTAAAAAGAAGAAAATATTTTCCCAGAAAATAAATTTTTAAAAAATACTTTTCTTTATCATGAAATGTTTCTTGAAACAAACAAATATGGAGTGCAATACTTATGTATGGAATATAATTGTTTATAGTACACGGTTTGAGATTCTTTGGGCGAGCGTCAACTTGGGCGCATGGGGACGAAAAATCAATCAACCTTTTTTCCTTTTCTCACTTCTTTTCCCGCTTTCACTTTCATTTCACAGAAGAAGGAAAAACAGAAAAGAAAAGAACGGATGAAGATAGAGCTTATCCTGCCACGTGTCGGTCAGTGGGTGGCCGCCCTTCTCGTGGGCCCCACCCGATTCCTCCCCCTTGACTTTTCCGTAGTAGATGCTCTGGTCTCCTCCTCGAAGCCAGCCCGCCATCCCTTACATTGCATGTTCATCTTCCATCCCCATGATTCACTAAGATTTAGAATCCAAAAGGGGACAATGTTTTTCAGGAGCGACCAAACATTAGAAATCGAATTAAAATAAAAACCTCATCAAATATTGTATTTCAATTAAAGTATAGTGCTTTATAAATAAGATATGAAAAAGGAACGAACAAATTTCATTGACAATAATTGTTATTGATTGAATAGTTGATAGATGCATGTGGTAGAGCAAATCGATTACCACATGGAATATTTACAAAAAAAATTTTAATTTGTAAATATTCGACTAATTGGAATCTGATATTCTTCTTTTCTTTGTGATTTGAATCTAGGATTCAAACAGTAACTAAGCATTTTCCCCCAGACAAGCCGAAAGATTGAGGGCTAGGGTGGAGATCCTTTGAGCAAAGTACATCGTCATCTGACTCGAATTTTTTGTTAGACTTGGAAAAAAGCTGCCCAAAATCCATAAACTAAACACCACTTTTGATGTTTATTGCAAACATCATCATTAAAGAACGATCTTACTTAATCTTTTCCTATATCACTACAAAAAGAATGACCATGCTTTATGACCCCTTTGGACTAAGACAATGTGGATCATGCTTTTTGAATGGAGAACATGATTTAAGTATTGATAGTCTTAGAAATTGGCTATTTAATTACTCGTCACACAAAGACGGTTCGGCCTAAGGAAATTTATCCCATGAAGTGATTCTCGAGTTGAGACTTCATTTTTAAATCGCTAGATCAATTGACAAACAATGTGTTTGTGTAAGTTATTGTTAGCTTCAAGAATATGCCTAAATGCGTACCGAAAGAAATGGCGAGTCGATAATAAATTCCGACTTATTAGGATTAAAGAAACGTGAAATCCCGTTTATTGACCCATAATTTTCGTGCGAATGATTTGTTTGACAGAATCTCAGGAAAATGTGAACTAAATCTAACGTACAAAAGTTAGCTCAAATCCATTGGAATTATCAAATTCAAAGATAATCAAGTTGAATGAGGGCTTTCTCACCAATAGATGATACACATATTATAAGGTCAAATATAACTGTAGTCATGTGCCTCTATCCAACTATGTAAGCGCACGACGAATGATATGTGTGCGATTCAATAAAACTAGAGAAACCCTGTCCATTTCTTTTTGACCATGCAACTTTAGCCATGCATTTAAAAGAACCAATCTCCATCCCTTCCTAAACTTTTCTTTATTTTATACATTATCTATTTTAATACTTTTTTCTAATGTTAGTGGGTCGGTACACTTATCTCGACGTTTGACTTTGTAAATTTTTTTTACAAAGTCGGTTTGTAAAGAGATTGAGAGACTCTTAATGGATTTGCTTGAATCTGTCATATATATTTAATCTAGTTAGAATTTAAACACCACCACTTTATAAAATTGAATTTGGAAAAACTAATCTTCGTAGCCCTAGCATCTCGAATACAAAATTGTCAGCTAATTTTGCTCAACGGGAAATTTAGCTTACACTTAAATCGTTCATGTGAAAAATTCCCCTAATTGCTTAGTAAATCATGCTAGTATGATTTGCCAAGTACCTGTTGGCAATTAAATTCGACACTTCACTAGTTAGAACAAATTATTAAATAGATTAACTTTTCGGATTGGGAAGAGGATGAATTTGAGACATGTTTTTTTGTTGTTGTGAGAATAGGGACATCATACGGGGAGGTAGGCTGTTAGATGGAATTATTGCCATTTTGTCCTACTCTTTTACTTGCCAGTCCGATCCGCCATAATTACGGCATGAAAAGTTGTACCAGCAATTTGCATGGTGGAAAAAGAATTGCATATGAAGGGAATTCTTTTTTTTTCTTTTTAGCATTCATGTCACGATCCATGTACGATGTTGCGAGAGTGATCGACTTTAGAACGGATAAGTTTCATATTAATAATTTAGAACTTATCATATCAGAGTCGATTCACAATTTTTGGATTTGAGAATCTAACCCTAAACCAGCCTACCTTTGTTTCTTGCTTTTTTTTTTTAATCAAGCAAATTGATTTTTTATTTATAATATTAAAACTATCCTACAAAAATGTAAACATAAGACCAAACAAAATACTTTTAACACAAGAAAGTAGAGGAGTTTTAAATAAAAGACATTTAGGATTTATTTTGAACAATCTTAAAACTGATTCTTTTGGGAAACTGGCCTTACAAGGTCAATTCTCGAATAGAATCGATAGCTTTTTTTTTTTTGTACAAGATCGAAAATCGAACCGACCAAGGCCTCACGTGTGAACCGGCTTGAAACCAATCAAGTAAGGCCGATTTGGTTGAGTTCTCGAATTGAATTGGTCCAATTATTTTGATATTTGTTGAAAAATTATTTATATTTCGAATGCGTCACTCAGAACTATTCAAACATTTTTGGAATGCATGAATTAACCTTGATTTATGCGCAAATTACATTTACCTTTATGATATTTGTTGGAAAAATGTTCATGTTAATTAGTGTTTTTTTTTTACTTGCATGGCAAATGAGATGACTTAATGAAAGAAATGCGTATGGGAAACTTTGACTCAGTATACAATGTGATCCATGAACTTTTAATTTGCTTAATGTGGTCCTTAAACTTTAACCCAATGTGCAATATTGTCCCTCAACTTTTAATTTATTTAATATCGTCCATGAACTTTTTGCAAGTCAATGAATTATATGAAAATATTCAATGTAATCCTTCCATTAATTTAAGTTCAAAGATTTTAATGAACATTTTCATATAATTTTGGGGATTATATTGAACATGTATTAAAAGTCCAAGGATCATATTGAACAAATCAAAAGTTCGGGGACCATATTGAATATTATGCTAAAAGTTTATAAATTGTATTGGGTAAATTAAAAAGTTATGGTCCATATTACATATTGGGTTAAAATTCAAAGAATGTTCGGGCGATTATTCCTTTATATATCACATTCACACGATACAATCGTTAGATAAAAATATTTTTCTCGATGAGATTCTGCTGCTGCTAAAGGACGATAAAGGCAGTCTACCATAAACAATTCCACGTCAGATTTTCAGAATCCTCCCTCATCTCCCTCACCTACTTATGATGTACTGCCTCTTTCTCCTGAGACGGAAATTCGTAGAGAGAGAGAGAGAGAGAGAGAGAGAGAGAGAGAGGAGAGTAGCTACAGAAGTGGAAGAGACCTCCTTTTGCTGAACACATCGGAGAGAAAGCTCTTCCAGGTCTATCACAGAAATGGGTGAAGTGAGTTCTTTCTCATCATTTATCAATTACTTTCCTTCTCCCACTTTGATTTCTCTCCCGTAGTGTTCACGGAGACTGAAGTGTTGTTCCTCTGTCTGTGGTAACAATGAAGGAGAATAAAGAGGGGAAGAAGGAGGAGGCCAAGGAAGGAGAGAAGAAGGACGAGAAGAAAGAGGAGGCGCCGCCGGAGATCGTGCTCAAGGTCGATATGCATTGCGAGGCCTGTGCCAGAAAAGTTGCAAGAGCTCTGAAAGGGTTTGAAGGTCTCATTGTTATTTAATTTTTAATTAAAGCCATTTTTCTATTATGAAAAAATTTGTCACCACTCTCCATGTGAGTTTTTTATATTCAATTCCACTGGAATGTATGTCATCATTCAAAAATTTAAAAAATTTACAGATGAGACAACTCCTTAGCTTAAGGGTTTGTTCTCTTTTGGGTTTCAAACTCAATTTTATATTACTCGCTTGTGAGATCATGCACATCATCCTTAAAAGTACTTGACCGTTGAGATGCATGATCTTTCCTAATCAAATTCAGTCAATTTTGCTTGAGTGGATTTCAATTATATTAGAATCTCCCTTTTTTTTATCCATTTTTAGGTATTAGTTCTGTTTCCCAATCTGATTGTCTTGAGGATTCTATTCAAGAGTGCTTTTAGAACACTTGTCAAGCATCTGTGTAAAGAAATTTTGTAATATTCATTATGCCGACAATTCTTATTCTGGGTATAATCAATACTTTGAGAATTTTAATTTTTTTTCTAATACACTCGATGAGTGTCTCAAAACTACTCGTTAACATAAACAATGAATTTTAAATTTTAGGAAAATTGCATAAGATTTTTTTTTCTTTTTTGGCCAAAGAGATTACCATATAATTTTTTTTTTGTTTACCTTATAATTTGATTTGAATGTTGGGGGCATGGATTCAGGTGTGGAAGAGGTGACCACAGATAGCAAGGCCAGTAAAGTGGTGGTGAAAGGGAAGTCGGCAGACCCTGTAAAAGTGTGCGAGAGGCTGCAAAAGAAAAGTGGGAGGAAAGTGGAGTTAATCTCGCCTTTGCCCAAGCCTCCCGAGGAGGAGAAAAAGGAAGAAGCCAAAGAACCACCCAAGGAAGAGAAAAAAGAGGAGGTAATTTTAAATTAAATTTAATGTTGTTTATTTTTTTCAGATTTCAAATCAGTCATAGCCACACCACCAAACCCCAACTAACTTTCTTCTTCTTTTTCGAGTCTTTTGCTAAAAAGGGAAGAACCAGGGTTAGCTGATTATCATAGCAATTTAATGTAACATATTGAGGGCTTCAGTAAAATCATTTAAAGCGCTAACTAGATCCACCCACTTCCTCAATCATCTTTTTGTTCAGCTTGGATATTCACCTCCTTTCAATTCCAATGATTACAACCATACACGATGACATCATGTGGGAAAAATGACATCAAATGAGAATCATATGTGAGGGTTTTAATTTCTAAATCAAACTATTGCTCTTGTGAATCGCGTAGAATCAGCCTGTCCAAATCGATCCAGCCGTCTATGAGCTCGTATGAATTCGACAATGGAATCGGCACGTAATAGTTGAATGTCTAAGATGGTGTGGTTCAAGTGACAACACTTGATGATGATTTACTTCATTGAATAAGAATGGAGATGTGGTTCCATCAATAAAACCCTCATACAATGCAACAGTAAATTAGTAAATTTGGGTAAAGTTGGGGAGTGAATGTAGTGAAAGTTGCTACTTAATATTTCTGACATGAAAATAACTAGACAGGGTCAGCAAAAGAAGGCACATGCTGTGTAGGCACAGTGAGCAATGAGTTGGAGCTACGAGAGAGGGGGCTGTTGAAGTGGGGCTCTTTTTTGAACCCCACCATGTTTGTTCGATTTCGATCGTTAGCCTTTGTTGTTTAATATAGTGGAGTCATGCAGAGGGTCACGAGCGAAACCCCAACTTTAAAAAAGGTGATGAAAAGGAACCCACAAGTTCTTTTTTTATAATTATTTTATCTCTTAATTTTGTCCATCCTCCATGTATCACAAGGTTGAATTTGGTCACGTGAACTATGTAAACCATATGGAAATTAAGTAGTTGATGATCTCTAATGTTCATAAGTTCATGCGATTTCAAATTTTTTTTGGGAAAAAATAGTTATTCGACGTGTACCAAATCATAATTCATGAGTATAAATCTTGATATTTGGTCTTGCTTGTTACTTTTGTGTTTTATTTCCGGATTATTTCGTGAATGTGTGTTTATTATGTCGACATTTCATGTCCATTTCCTAACGGTAAATAGGTTAAATTAAAGAAAACGAAAAAGGTCGGTGACTCGTACGTGGGTCTGGGAGTTAGGTTATGGTCTCTTTTGTCATTTTGCTTCGTACGTACCTTGGGTTATGAGTGCTTTTTGGCTTCTTTTTGCCACCTGCGCCTTCACACTCCTGTAAAAACAATAGTCCTATTGAATTGAATAATTATACTAGGGATACTACATGTGTAAGGTAGATGTTATCAATATTTACAATAAATGATTCATGTGACAAGACAAGACCCTACAACATATAATGGCACATTTTATACCATATGTAAGTTTGTATAAAACTTGTGACTTACCTAGTAAATAGCTCTTGGTAAAACATTTTACTAACCCTAGCTTTACAAATTCACTTTGTCACTTATAATTAGTGGCACCTTGTTGCAAATTTATGTTCATGGAATCGCTATTCGCTATTACTACTAGGAAAAGCTACAGCAAGGAGCTTGAATGATTGTGCTTATTGTTGTTTGTGAAATGCAATGCCGATTTATGACGTCATATTCCTTTGTCCCTAATATCAATGTTTTTTTCCCTCTTGGCTGATCCTACGATCATGTGATTGACAATTACTAATTTTCTATGGCTGGTTATTAAGCCTCCGGCTCCGATAACGGTCGCGTTGAAGGTTGGAATGCATTGCGAAGCATGCGCTCAAGTTTTACAGAAACGAATTCGGAAAATTCAAGGCAAGTTGTCTGCTCTTGAATCGTTGAGCCGTATACCGTCCAGGAAGACTCATTCTGTCGATGTTTTGCAGGAGTAGAGACAGTGGAGACCGACGTCGCGAATGATCAGGTGATAGTCAAAGGCGTGATCGACCCGTTGAAGCTGGTTGACTACGTGAAAAAGAGGACAGGGAAGCACGCGTCGATCGTGAAGGACGAGGAGAAGAAGGAAGAGGAGAAGAAGGAAGAAAGCAAGGAAGGAGAGAAGAAGGACGGCGAGGAAGGGAAGGACGACGACGACACGAAGATGGACATAAAGAAGAGCGAGTACTGGCCCTCCAAGTACTACATGGAATATCACTCGTACCCGTCTCAGATCTTCAGCGACGAGAACCCGAACGCTTGCTCTGTGATGTAGTGCAGAGAGTTTCGAACCTCGGACTCAGTTAAGAGTACGTGGCGAGGCAATTTTCCGTTGTACTTAAAGCTTGCCAATAAAGACATTCGCGAGACCGGGAGTCGTTGGCTAATTGTAATCCGTTGATGTTCTGTAATCTGTGTTACTAATTGTCTACTCTCTTGATGTGAAAGTGTAGATTGAATTTTCAGCAAATATGGCTCTGCAATAACCTGTACATTCTGATCCTAGCGCCCCCCCCCCCCCTCTCTCTCTCTCTCTCTCTCTCTCTCTCTCTCTCTCTCTCAAGCTAGGAATTCGTTTTCGACATTAATAGTCTTGCTTCCTAGAAGCCAAGCTACATTTTTCGAGAAAAGTAACAAAAAAGTCGTAAACATATTTCATTGATATCAATTTAGTCATAAACTTTTTAATTGAATCAATTTAGTTCTAAACCATTTTCACATTGATACAAATTCAGTACATCCGGTCAATGTAAGCCGGAATTCAATGACGCGGACACTAGCCATTCTACGTGGCACAACTGGCACTGATGTGGACATTTTTAAAATTTTTTTAATAATTTTTACTTTTTTTTCCTTCCATTTTCTTTTTGCTGGTGCTAGTGGCCAGTTGCCAGCTGCTGACCATAGGCCATGACTGGCGAGGGTTGGCCTCGCCTGGGCGAGCCACGCCAGGGCTCTGGCAAGGTCCCCCTTGCTAGATCTAGCGAAGCCGACCCTCGTCCAGGCCAGGGCGGCCTCGTAGCGCTTTGCTTGGGCAATGGCGAGGCTCGGCCTCCTCAACGCAAGACCAACCCTTGCACAGGCCACGACTAGGTTTGCCGTCGCCCCCGGTGAGGCGCGGCACGACGAGGCCGCCCTAGCCTGGGCAAGGGTCGGCCTCGCTAGAGCTCACTCTCGCCCAGGCGTGACCGAACGAAGCTGATCCTCACCTCTGGCTGGCGACTAGCCACTGACACCAACAAAAAGAAAAGCGAAAGAAAAGGGAAAGAAAAAAAAGGAAAACAATTCAAAAAATTATTAAAAATGTCAACGTCAGCACCAAACGTGTCACGTAGGATGGCTAGTGTCCACGTCATCGATTTACAGCCTGAATTGGCTAGATGGACTAAATTGATATCAATATAATATATTTATGACTTTTTTGTTACTTTTCCCTTTATTTTCGTGTAAAAAGTTTAAAATTGAGGTTGAAGAGAATGTTCAAGATCGCATTTTCACAACATAATAAATGCCGCGAACCATGATGGACTACGTTGTCAATTGATCCATGATTGAGGAACATTCTCAGTTTCGTATTCGCTATATCCGGTCTTCATCGTGCGCGAGCTTGTGGCACCAGAATTTTTTATGCAGAAATCGTCGACATCGAGCATCGACTTTGCGAGAAAACGGTGTCGGTGCCTAGAGTATCATCCATAAGTGCATCCCCACAGAGTATGCCGACCAGCTGTTGCGGAAACATAAGGTGCAGGACTTATTCACCTTTCGATTCTATATTTGGACCCCTACTTGGACCACTAGAATCGCAGCTTGCCCATGTACATACTACTATTCCATCTCCAACACCAGTGTCAAAATCAGGATAGGAAGTTTCAGTTCGTCGTGTCCCTCCGCATTATCGAGAATCCAACTCGAAAAAGGAACACATCGAACCAGTTCGGTATCGAGATCTTCGGGGGCCAGTGGGATTTAATCCCTTGTCAAAACAATTGCTCAGCAATCTTTGTTAACCAGTGCCATCATCTCTCCAGATTAAGGGCCTTGTTAGCATTTGCGGCATTGGACCACAAGGCCACTCATGGACCATATTGCAGATTCATGCCCATCACATACAAACTATGGTGGTATCTGAAAAGGATGCACTGGTGTCTTCGCATGGTCGTATTCGACGGAACAAAAGGCTAATGGTTAGCATGGGAATCGCCGAAAAGCCGATGCTTCCAAAGAAGTCTTGATGCAGTGTCTGACGCATTGGGCGTCTCTCCATTTTAAGTGGAGATTCTTTGAGAGAATGGAACTCAAAGGTCAATATCAATTAAAGTATGAACCACTGTTATCTGATTTTTAAGCGTGCAATAGAAGTCCGATACCTTCATTAGAGGAGATCGTTAAGAAGAAGCTCAAGTTTGAGCCCGTCAACGTATCTAATTAGACATGTCATAACTCAAAAGCTTAAGTCAATGAGTTATATATTAACTACTTCACACCACTTCAATTATCCAATGCGGGACATTTCTAACATGAGTTATACGTGTATATCAATAATCTCTCCCTTACATGTAAATCCAGTGTTAGGTATGCTCCCTCTTAATGCCCATCTTTTTTCATACTAAATCAAGAAGTCTGCCATCGGGACCGTGTTTCTACGTCACAACATCCACCTTCAACCCCAGTCTCTTTCACCAGATCAGACCATGAAGGTTTCCCTCGGAAAGGTCTCCTTTTCCAGACTGAACCAAGCAATCTACCATCTAGCCCGTGTTACCACGCCACGACGTCCACCTTCAACCATGGTCTCTTTCGCCAAATCGAACCATGAAGGTTGCCCCCGAAAATGTCTCTTTTTCTAGACCGAACCAAGCAATCTACCATCAAGCCCGTGTCGCTTCACCACAATGTACACCTTCAACTCTAGTTGCTTTCGTCAAATCAAACCATGAAGGCTGCCCCCGGAAATTGACTTCACCAAACACCGGAACATATTGGCCTTCATTCAAGTATCTTTTGCACCAAACATATCTCAATTTGAATCTTCATTAACACACACCTTTCTCCAGACCGAACCAAAAGGTTTGACATTGGGCCCGTGTTGCTATACCATAATGTCCACCTTCAACTCTGGTCTCTTTCGCCAAATCGAATCATGAAGGTTGCCCTTGGAAAGGTCTCTTTCTCCAAACCGAACCAAGTAGTCTACCATCAGGAACGTCCGCCTTCAACCCCGGTGTCTTTTGCCATGAAGGTTTCTCCCGGGAAGGTCTCTTTCTCCAAATCATACCAAGCAGTCTACCATCGGGCCCGTATTGCTACACCACAACGTTCACCTTCAACCCTGGACTCTTTCGCCAGATCAAACCATGAAGGTTGCCCTCGAATTCCGACTTCACCAAACAGCGGAACATATTGGGGCTGGAGTATCAATCAACCATCAACTTAGCAGATACCTTTGCTTGGAAGATTGCCAAGGGGGAGCTCTAGTTCGAACCTGTAAACATATCTAGTTGGACACATTTTTACTGAAAAACTAGAATATATTAATTACTCTTCGAAACTACAATGTGAAACTTTTCTAACATAATTCACACATGTATCTTAATAATTGAATAAATAATTGCCAGAGCAACATTTGGACTATGCATTTGAGGTAACTTTCTACATAAGGAAATTATCTTAGAGCTCTAGATGAGAATAGAAAGTTACAAAGACCAACTTCGGAAGATTGAGTGGATAAAAAGAAGGGCATTGACAAGTGCTGTAGGAATACTGGTTAAATAATCAATTAAGAAAATTTTAATATTTTTTTAATGGACCAACTCTTATCGTGTTATGTGTTATTTATATTCTGAAAACTGAATTATTTAACGTTAAGTATACTTAATGCTCTTTAACGTTGTTCAAATTTAATTTATATCAAGAAGCCTTCTCCGGAACGTCAAGATCATCAAGGAGTAGAGTTTTGATTGATAGTGTTGCCATCTCATCAAAGTAGCAATAATTCATTTGGTTAAAGAAAAAAAAAAGTCATCAATTATTTGGCACCCCAGTCGTGCATATCATCCTCAGGTGGCCCTATTGCTCCGTCACGGCCTAGAGATTAGATTCCTGCTATTCCTGTGAAAAAACAAAACTCTCAATATTAGCAAAAATTCCAAAAATAATTTGTCCTGAAATTTTCAGAGTGTTATCTATAGTTTTCAAGAAGAGATGTTACAGTTTTGTAAATGTATGAGTAACTTTTATCATTACGATGGTAACTTTCGAAAAGTGATAGTAAATTACGATTGTATAAAATTATCTAGATTTTGGTGTGCAGTTTCAATCGTATGCGTAGAGTCAAAAGTAATATTACTTGGCTTTTACTCCACCTCCTACTCGATAGTGTAGTGGGGACGGGTCCGCTCAAAATAAATAATAGTTGTGATTCAAACTGAACATTTCGATTACAATAATGGATTCTATTCTAACATTTAGGGATCGTCGACGCCGGTCTCTTTTTCTCACCCTTTTACCGATAAATAGGAAAATCTCATAGTATATATGGGCATTGGTCTTATTAGGCCCGAGTTGTAGTTAGACTAACTAGATCTTTTTCTTAACTAATGTCTATGAATGTGCATCTGACCAATCTGTTTCCATGAGTCGATTAGGGCTCCACATAGCTACGACGGTTTGGTTTTCAAGAGCATTTCGAATCCGAGACACTAAGTACTAAGTAAGCACTTGGCAAGACAACCAATCCTTTGGTGTTCGTTTATTTGAGTCTGAGCAAGTCAAGTTGGCCTCTGGAATCAAAATATGTTTTCTCTTATGCGATTCATTGAATGTTACTTGAGATTATTTGGTCTTTATAATGCGTCTCTAATTTTTATTGTGAGATTTTGTGAGACTACTATCAACTATCCTAAAAGCTTAAGTTATTAGATAAATGTATGGTTTACTATTTAAATATTCTAACACCAAGCTCGTGTAGGCTGGATTTTGACCTGAGCCTAAAGCGTAAAAATATATAATTGGAGAGGCAAATAAAGGTCTGAAAGATCTGAATTCAAGAACTCCTGCTCATATACCATGTTGAGATTTTGTGGTACAAATGCCAACTGTTTTAAAAGTTTAAAACTTTTGATTTGGACTTTATAACATTCATGATGATTTATTTTTCTTTGTTTGCTACCTAAGGGTTCTTCAAATCGATATCAATCTTTCGGAAAGTTTCAACCGATTGACAGAGACATGATTGAGATTTTAGTGCGCAGTGGATAACACAGGCTGACATTTGATTCAAGAATGAAGTAGGAAACAAGAAGAACCGTCCAATAAATAAGCTTTTCTAGATTTGAATATAATTGTCCATTATCATGTCAAGACTTCTTAATCAAATATAAACCATCTAGCAATAACTTACTAATTCAACAAATCTCGTTTGCAACATGGTAGAAATATCTAAATAACTATATCCGTTGCATCACCTAACTTATCCGGTATAATCATGTTAGACAAGATCGCGTATCATAAAAAAAAAAATTGACATAAATTAGAAAATAAAAAAGAAAATGAGCCTGACATCTTAATTTTGGTAGATTTTAAATATGATACATTTGGCACATTTCATGTCACCGAACTGCCACTCATCCTCAAGTGGTGGAGGCCGTAACTAAGCCCAAATGAAGCTTTACGTATTAATCATTTCATCATTGTTTAAAATGGTGGTCCACCATGACAACTGAACTCTTTTGTTTCTATTGGATGATCTTGATGATCTGATCCTAGATAATTTATAATTGTTCCACATAATAAAAACCAAGAGTCGATTTTTTAACAGCTCGATTGTTTGAATATTGAACTATGGGTACGAAAGATTTAATGCACAATTAATCTTATTAAATGTAATGGTGGTTTCCCACGTACGACATGTGTCTAGTAAATTTATTAGAGGACGTGTTTAGCGAGTACCTTTCGAAGCACCTGTCATCAAACTCGAAAAAAAGTTTCAATTTTCAAAACCCTAATATCATATTTCGCTAGAACCATTGATACAACGAACATTAAATAATTTTCTTAAACAGTTACTTAACAAGTCTTCAAAGATACACATTAACAAATTCTCCTTGTTATAGGAAAATTAACCCAATCAATCATAAACTTATTGTAAGATGTTAATTCAGTTGCAAATTTTCCAATTTTGTCAATTTATTCTTAAACTTTTGTGCAAAATTCCAATGTAGTCATTCCGTCAATTTTCGCCGAAAATTACTAATATGGCGGCATAGTTTTCGCCATCGCCATATAGCATTTTCCTGAAAAAAACTAGCCAAAATGACTAAATTGAAATTTTGCGCAAAGGTTTAGGACTAAATTGGAGAAATTAGAAAGTTTATGACTAAATCGGCATCCGTACAATAGATTTAGGACTGATTGAACAATTCCTCTCTTATCACATGTCTCTAGTCTCTTACTTACTATTAAATCAAAGGTTCTACGTTCCAAGTTTTTTATAGTATTTGTGTTCGATTTCTACAGTTCTTTATCTGATAATTTCTATTTTATATTGAATCTTTTCTACTTCTAGGTTCACTAAATGTTCTAATGGGATTACTCTTCAAAATGAAAATGATTTACATGCATGTGTCTAAGAGCTCAGCGTTTCCCTCTTTCAATTCAGCATGTTTTCTTGAATGAGCCCAAAACATGTTGGTCAACTGTCGCACGTAGAAACATAATATTTCTGTTTGGGATTATATGAAAATTAAGTGAGAATTCCTATGTAGTGTAAAGATATATATACTAAATTGGATCTTCCAAATTAATTTAACAAGTTTGTGGCCGAATACAATTAGGCCTTTGAACAATAGAGTCGTATTCAACCTCCAATAAAACTCTGTCCAGTTATTTAATAAATCAAATCAATTTATCGGTGTTAGTGCACTTAACTTATGGTAAAAGTGGAAAACGCTCCGCATTAAATTTGTTGACACACCCATGATAAATTACCTGGCTCCTAGGATCCGAATGCGTCCTTCGAGATGTCTGGTATAAAACTTTCCAAGTTGGACATAAATTAAACGATCTTTAGAGAAAGTGGAAGCAATAGAACTACGAGGAAAATTAGTAAGATATTGCCACTTGCCAGTGGCTTTTTTGCGGATTAAATGCTAATTCAACGAGGTTGATTAGGCTCAAGGAAAGTGCTGATTAGGTTAGACTCCCTAGTCTGTCAATAAACAATTACCGTCCGAGCAATAGAGTGAGAAATTGCGGTCAGAACGTGTTAAAACGAGTATAAAAAGGAGAAATACTTGAATGATGTGAATAGAATTTTACTTTATTAAACGAAAGCATTGTCTAACTTTTTTTAAGGATGATGTTACGTATTTTAAAACCAGTTAAACTAATATTCTAACATGTGAGTCGGATCTTTATTGAATGATGAATATGACTAAAGGCTCGCTTCTAATTCGCCCCTCATTTAGTATACAAAATTTAGTAAATTAGTTTTAATATACCCATAAGGTACTGCTCAATATTTAAATATTGTAATAGTGCAAGACTTTCCTTCAATGGCTTCTCCTCCACGTTGAATTGTTCCAAGAACTACAGTGGCCATCTTGATCTTGTTATGAACCTTTGGCTTCCTAAATTATGCAAATATTTATGAGTAAAAAATTCATCATGATACATGCACTAATATACATCCGCCAAAGTGAGTAGCGCAGATCAAAGACTGAGATCTGTGCTCCATTTTTTGGGGGGTTTGACTTTGGAAAACTTGATAGCTTTAATGACTATCAACAATGAAGAGACCCAAGACCAAGAAAAGCCAAACAAAGATCACACAAGAGGAGATCAAGAACAAGAAGAAAGATGTGCAGTGGAAGAAGTGGCCTTGATCACAGGAAAAGATCAAGAGCAAGAAGAAAGATGTGCAGTGGAAGAAGTGGCCTTGGTCGTGCCGGAGACCGACAACCGGTCACTCCCAGTGATGACATTCCGCATGTGGGTCCTCGGCCTTACATCTTGCGTCGTCCTCATCTTCCTCAACACCTTCTTCATGTTCCGGACGCAGCCGCTGACCATCTCGTCCATCCTGATGCAGATCACCGTGTTGCCCATTGGCAAGCTCATGGCCAACTCTCTGCCTGCTAAGCAGTACCGGTTCTTCAGCTACAACTTTAGCTTGAACCCAGGGCCTTTCAACATCAAAGAGCATGTTTTGATCACCATCTTCGCGAACTGTGGAGTGGCCACAGGCGGAGTTGATGCTTACTCCATTGGACCCATCACGGTGATGAAGACTTTTTACAAGCAGAACTTGAGCTTTCTCTGTGCCCTCATCATTGTCTTGACTACACAGGTACAACTCATTGTACTGGTCTTCCTTTGAGTAGCTACCATTCCTAGGTTCCGTCACTTTTTTTCCATTTTTCGTCGTCGGGGCCTGAGTTTAAATCATCAAGACTATGCTTTCTTTTTATGGCTTACCAGATATCTAGTTACCCAGTATGCATCGAACCGGGATTTTCTCATACCTAGCATGAAACAATGAATTAGTGGTTAGTCATGTGCTTTCGATGTTATGTTCATTTCATACCGTGGAAAAATGATTACAGGAAGATGTTGCTCTCATTTCAAGATTATACTCGTGTGCTCCATAAAGATTAATGAAGGGGAAAACATGTTCTTTTATTAACGGAAATGTAGAATTGAATTTCGGGGGACCAGAATTTGTGTTGGCCAAGTTTTGAGTGACTGATGGGTCTGTTGCTGGATGATACAAATAGTTAGCAGGGTATGGCTGGGCTGGAATGTTTAGGAAGTACCTGGTGGATCCTGCTGAAATGTGGTGGCCTGCAAACCTTGCTCAGGTCTCTCTCTTCAGGTCTGTAACTGTACTCTCTTCTTGCTTGTTTAGATATATGGTCTGAAAGGGAACTGATTATCCTAGGAAAGTTTTGATGGAACTCATGTGACCCTTTGACATTTATTAGGATGCATCGTCTCTTTGACTATAATTGCCTGGATGGGCTTAGAGGCTCTAAATGGTTCTGCTTGATTGTTATTTCAGGTCTGCTTATCTTGATAATGAATTGCCTGTTTTTCTTTTCAGAGCCCTCCATGAAAAAGAACACAAAACCAAAGGCCTGACACGAATGCAGTTTTTCCTCATGGCGCTCACGGCGAGCTTCGCTTACTACGTGCTCCCTGGCTATTTGTTCCCAGTTCTGACATTCTTCTCCTGGGTCTGCTGGGCGTGGCCCCGCAGCGTCACCGCCCAGCAAATCGGGTCAGGATACCATGGGCTCGGGATAGGCGCCTTCACCCTCGACTGGGCCGGCGTCTCCGCCTATCGTGGAAGCCCGCTTGTGACGCCTTGGCAGACAATTGCCAATGTTGGGGTCGGCTTCGTTGTGTTCATATATGTGGTGGTGCCTCTGTGCTATTGGAAGTACAACCTCTTCTTCGCTCAGCGATTTCCCATATTCTCGAATCAGCTGTTTAAGTTCGACGGGCATAAGTACGATATCACCAAGATATTGACACCAAAATTTGATCTTGATGTAGCTGCTTACGAAAGCTACGGGAAGCTGTACCTAAACCCTATATTCGCAATATCGTTAGCATCGGGATTCGCTCGCATCGCGGCTACTTTCTCGCACGTGGCGTTGTTCCATGGCAGGTAACTTACTTCCATTATTTCCAAGATTAAGCAATCATGGTTTACCCTATAGTCTTTGATAAATCGTGTTAGTTCTCAAATGGTTGCTTTTTTTTGTATGATTCGTTACCTTCTTTTAGTATGGAGAGTGATACGATCATGATCAACTGACACATGCATAGTGTCATGCTACATTTCCATCTCGTAGTGATGTCATAAGGAGGAGCCGAGCTGCGATGAAGGACGTGAAAATGGACATCCACACGAAGCTGATGATGCGTTACGAACAAGTCCCTCAATGGTGGTTCCACATTGTAGCAGTGGCATGCGTCGCCTTGTCGGTGATGATGTGCTTCGTGTGGAAAGACGTTGTGCAACTGCCGTGGTGGCTGATGATTCTCGCCTTCGTCATGTCTTGGCTTGTTGTACTCCCCATTGGGGTCATTCAAGCAACCACAAACCTGGTAAAATTATGAAATTTCCTCGTTGCTTCAGATTCCGAGACGGCATGGGATTTGTGGTTAACCCGGTCACATTAATTGACATAAGCAATGTGCTGTTTCTCTGTGACTTCTTCTGCAGCAACCGGGATATGAAATCGTAGAACAGTTCCTGATCGGTTACATATTGCCGGGAAAGCCCATAGCGACCTTGCTTTTCAAGATCTACGGGCGATTCAGCTTCGCCCATGCGCTGTTTTTCTTGTCGGACCTCAAACTCGGGCACTACATGAAGATCCCTCCGCGCTGCATGTTCACGGTTCAGGTATTTGCAGTTCGCTGGACAGTAAGGCCTTGAGATTAATCAGTTCCTCTTTCTGATATCTTTGTTTCCATTTCTGCAGCTCGTGGCTAGTCTAGTTTCGGGCATAGTTAACCTCGCGGTGGCTTGGTGGATGATGGGGAGCATCGAGAACATCTGCGACGTCGAGGCGCTCCATCCCGAGTCCCCATGGACGTGTCCCAAATTCACGGTCACGTTCGACAATTCGGTCATATGGGGATTGATTGGCCCAAGGAGGCTATTCGTACCGGACGGCTTGTACCGGAACTTGGTGTGGGTGTTCCTTGTCGGAGCTCTCTTGCCTCTGCCAATTTGGGCGCTGAGCAAGATGTTCCCGGAGAAGAAGTGGATCCGCCTGATAAACGTTCCCGTCCTGTCCTTTGGTTTCGCAGGGATCCCGCCAGCCTCTCCCACAAACATCGCGAGCTGGCTCATCACAGGGATGTTCTTCAACTATTTCATGTTCCGATACCGAAAGCGCTGGTGGCAGAAGTATAACTACGTTTTATCGGCGGCATTGGATGCCGGGACGGCTTTCATGGGCGTGTTCCTGTTCTTCGCTCTGCAGAATCAGAACAAGAACTTGAAATGGTGGGGGTCGGAGATCGACCACTGTCCGCTAGCAACTTGCCCGACTGAGCCCGGGGTCGTGGTCCAAGGTTGCCCTGTTTTCCAATAGTGTTGTCCAGGTGAAATCGAACATGATTCAGTTAATTTGGTATTGAAAGTTCAGGATAAGGTAAGAATGGTTGAATTTCTTATCCTTCCTTAGTCACCTTGCTTCAGTTTTGCGCCCTGAATCGAAAGATACATCGAAGCTCCACCGATTCTTCGTCATTGTCACGAGCGCAGTATGATGTCGATCGGACTAGTGATTCAGCTCTCAACCATCAAATTATGTTTCTGATCGCTAAGGTTGTTTATTTTTGGGTAACAAGGAACAATCCTAGTGATTGTAATTCAGTCTAGCATCAAAATGGGACATTCTCGCTTGGCATGAGTTGTTTACTACTTTTTGCCTCAGGAATAGCTATAATCCATTTAATAGTCTTTGGCCAAATCTAAAGTTTCACACTTATATTTTATAAGAGGATAACAGATAATATTGAATCGATCCTTACACCAAATTACGTATTTTATCTCTATGCTATTAAATTTCGATTAGTGTTAGTAAGTGTAAAAAAATTATTAGTGAAAAAAATGACGGGTGACTTTCTTTTCCGGGTAGATTGTTGTTAAATTATCGCAACTTTATAAAATTACCGATTATTCTATAGTTTGCAAATTATGGTGCATTTGGTAACGTTTCTGTTTCTGGGAACAATTTCTTTTCAGAAATAATTTTTCTATTTCTATTTCATGGATGAGTTTTTGAGCAAAAGAATACGTTTGGTAACTGCACAAAATTTCTATTCCTGAAATAGAAAAAGAACATAAATGCGTTTGGTACAACCAACAAAATTTCTATTCCCAATTTATTGCATTCAAATCTATATCTTTTATTTAACCATAAGTACAAGTTATAAGTGAAAAAAATCAATAAGCATGGTTTATTAGTTTGTCTAATCCGTTTTAGAGGTTTAAAACCCCTTTTAATCCCTAAACTAAGGAATCTTCAAAAATACCACTTGGGCACCTCAAAAAATTTAAATTTCACTCAAAGTGGGTGGCCACAGGTATTCTAAGCCATTTTGTGAATTTTTTTTTTAAATTTTTTTGGGGTAAAATTTATTAAAATTTTTTACTTTCCCTAAATCTGTTTCTTTTTATTTTCCAGAAAAAATTTTATGAAATTTTTTCAATTTCGGAATTTTGCAAATTTTTATGGGTTTTCTGAGTTTTTCTGATTTTTATGGATTTTCTGAGAATTTTTCTGATTTTTATGAATTTTTGGAATTTTTTAATTTTCTAATTTTTTGTAGGGATTTTTCTGAAATTTTTCTAATTTTTATGAATTTTCGGAATTTTTTAATTTATTCTAAGCCATTTTGTGTATTTTTTATTTTTGATTTTTTTGGGGAAAAGTTTATTAACATTTTTTACTTTCCCAAAATCTTTCTCTTTTTATTTTCCAGAAACTTTTTTATGAATTTTTTTAAATTTTTTCAATTTCAGAATTTTGCAAATTTTTATGGGTTTTCTGAGTTTTCCTGATTTTTATGGATTTTCTGAGAATTTTTCTGATTTTTATGAATTTTTGGAATTTTTAATTTTTTTATGAATTTTTTTTTTATTATTCCCGCCGGGAATGGATCGGACCGGTGCTTTGAGACGGTCTACAAACGATGGAGGATGGAGGAGGAGCTGGGGCTGCGGCTTGAGGATCGGACATTTCTATTTCTTTTTTTGTTTCTAGGAACAAAGAAGTAGAAAAAATCTACTTCTTATTTCTGTTCTAAATCTATTTCTTGGTCATTTTTCTATTCCAGGAAATATAAAAATTAAATGCGTTACCAAACAGATTTTTGTTCTTTTTTTGTTCCAAGGAACAGAAGAACAGAAAAATAGAGAAATAGAAACGTTACCAAACGCGCCCTTACCAATTTTTACACTAAAGTACCAAATATTAATTGCATAACTTTCTAATGCTTCAAAAAACTAATACGTTTCTGCATGCCTAAAATACAATCCTCACATAAACCAATATCTACAGACTTCAGATCAGGCAATTTTTCCCTTAATGCTAACACCCGCATCCCTTTTTTCGTTTATGTTTCCCAGCCATATAGTGCCACAATTTGGACAGATTGCGACCTAGAAACTACTATTATTACTCTACTGCTTTCGGTAATATATAGTGTTCCCAACTTTAGTCCCCGTGCTACAACCATAGCACCTTTAACAATCTTCCACGAGCTGTCCCCAAAAAATATTTGCGTATCTTGTGCTATGCAATTAATCTATAGAGATTAGATTTTTCTTAAAACCAAGAATCAATTTGACACCATGCAACTTTCATTAATAACCGTTTGTAGTCTTTATGTGAACGTTACCCTTCCTCATAATATTCAAAGGTTCATCATAAAAGATAAACCCTTTCCAAACTTCCAAACAACAAAATTGTACTTGAGTCTAGAATCCAAAATTCAGTCAGACTCTTGGCGCTCTAAATTAAGGCATCATGGACAAAGTCTCTTAAAGGGTTGCATTCACATATTTCTCCTCCTCTTGATTTCGATCCTTATATTTGATTTTCTACTCTAGGACTCTTCAATCTCGTTTCAAATGACCCTTCTTTTCACAATCCCACCAAATTATTTCACCACGAGATTTGATTTGCTTCTCCCTCTGGACTTTGATATACCACAGTTCTGATTTTGAGCTCATTGATTACTTTTCCCTTTGCCTTCAATACTCAAGGCAGCGCCCGAAGATTTATATGACTCTTTTCTACAATATCCTCGCTAAGCATCATATCTTGCATATCCAGAAGTTTCAACTTCTTCTAACCAGATGAACTACCCACCACAGTGACAATTGCACTCCAACTTTCAAGTAAAGAAGATAAAAAAAAAAAAGAAAAAAACGAAAGCTTTTACCTCGGCATCAAATTTGATTTCCACCAAACTTGTAATTACGTTGAATTAGTTGATGTGATCTGTCACAAAAGCACTTTCTCTATCTTCAAATTGAACAAACAACGCATCCAATATACCTTATTTGATGCAGAAGGCTTCTTGTACATGTGGGACAATGCCCTCATCAAATTCGTTGTTGTCTTCATGTTGGCAATGTTGAAGGCAACATTCCGTGCGAACGTGAGACAAATCGCACTTTGGGCTTGCCTATCTAACCATTCCTACTCTACTTTCGTGATCAAATCTAATTTCTCTCACGACAGAGGCTAATGCAGGTTTTTCTAATACAACAAATATTTTATCTGCATTTTCGAGAAAGAAAAATCCTTGTTGTCGAACTAATTGATCTTCACCTTCCCTTCATCCATTTACATTGCTCCCACTATTTTGCCAAACCAAGCTCCGATACCAATGAGAAGAAATCAAAGAAGAAGACATGTGAATTTTTTTTTTGGAAAACCCTTTTCTGAATCAGAAAAGGAAAAATCACGGTGCGTCACTAGGAAATCTTTTCACTATCAATATCAATATCCAGTTACAATTGTAAGAGAGATTGTCCTCATATATAGCAACAGTTTAGGACATACAAAGTTATTGGGAAAACTATATTACCTTAACAACATTTCTTTATTTCATCAAACTCCACAACTCCACCACTCTCATCTTCATAGCGATTTATCCTTTTCTGTTTGCATGGCAAGATCACTATCAATCCAGCTAAAAAATTTGAATTGATTAATTGAGTCGCGATTGAGTATTTTAATGAGCAGAAATGTTTTGGAAAGCACAGGCTGAGATTCCACTTTGCGATTAAAGTACATTAGCATATTAAGACTACTTAATCAAGTAGAACCATTCAGCAAGAACTTATAAATTGAACAAAGCTCGGATCCAACATGGCAGGAATATCTTCTCGTTTCATATGTTGCATAGCCAAACTTATCGGGTATAACCATGCCAGACACGATCGCATATTATAAAATCGAAAAAACAACTGACATAAATTGGAATAGAAAATGAGCCTGACAACTGAATTTTGGCACATTGCATGTCACCAAACTTCCACTCAGCCGCAAGCGGTGAAGGCTGTAGCTAAAGCCCATATGAAGCTTTAGATTCTGATGCTTTGCGTATTAATTAATTCATCATTGTCTAAAATGGTGGTCCCCCATGACAACTGCCTCTTTTTGTTTCTGTTGGACGGTCTTGATGATCTGATCCTAGCAAAGTGCTTCGAATGATTATTGTTTTTCGGGTTAATACCACGAAAAACTCCAAACTGATACACTTATGATAAATTTATCCTAAATTAATTTTTTGACCACCAAAAATCCCAAACTGGTATATATGTGACAAATTCACCTCAAACTTAATTTTTGACCATCAAAAATCATAAACTGGTACACTTATAATAAATTTACTCTCCGTTAAATTAAATTAATATCACGAAAAATTACAAATTGGTAAACCTGTGACATGGAGGGGTAAAACTCTAAACTAGTACACCCGTCAACTGCACGTGTCATCCAACCTAGAAATTTGACAGCAAAATTTAACGAAAACAAACAGAGGGTAAATTCATCACAAGTATACCAATTTGAGGATTTTGGTAGTCGAAAAATTAGTTTTGAGTAAATTTATCATATGTGTATCAATTTGGGGTTTTTCATGATATTAACCCTTGTTTTTTTAACAGCTTAATTGTTTGATTAGTTAACTATACGTACAAAAGAGTTACTGCACAATTAATCTCACTATTTTTCCCATTTCAAAGACTTTTTTTGTGTATCTAAATTTAATGGTGGCTTCCCATGCGCGATATGTATATAATAAACTTATTACTTAACAAGGATTTCGAAGATAATGACATGTCTCTTATCTCTTACATACTTTAAAATAAAAGGGTATACAAGATAATAAATACTCTATGTACGGAGTTTTTGGTGGTGTTTACTTTAGTTTCTGCAGTACTCTCTGTGATTGTTTTATTTTTAGTCAACCTTTTCTAGATCTGGGTTGACTAAATGTTTTACGGGGTACAATATATCTATACGGTACCTTTCTAAACAGCAATAGCGCATAGAAAATGCAGATGATTTCT